AGTTATTTAAGACTATGGACCAGCTGTTTGTTTATTCAACAACAATTGCTTGTGACCCCCACAACATATTTCAAGGCAGTGTGACCCCCACAAAGCTTAACATAAGAACCTGAGCTTATCCAATCTTTTTAAATGTTAATATATTTATTGGAGGTAGATTCAGCTAAGCAAATAACCTAATTTGTGAATAGAAGCCTTCAGAAATACACAGTGAAAGAATCAACAACTGCTCTTGCTTTTTAGAAATAGAGGCTATATTTTATATGTAAAAATGACAGTGTTTCTCATGCACGCCTTATGCAAAGTTAATTAACTAGATTATTTTCATTAAAATATTAAGAATAACTATGCTATTAAAGCTAAGATTCCTGCAAAGACTGAACAAAATTTTAATTCAAAAAAAATTTAATTCAAATTACAAAAGCTTTTGAGCTGAAGATATAAAGTACTCCACCGTCTGCCTATTACAGCAATTTTCAACCTGTGGGTCGCGACCCACAGGAACTGTATTAAAGGGCCATAGAATTAGGGAGGTTGAGAACCACCGGCCTGTTGTAGCATTTAAAATCTTTGTGAGCAATTCAAAGTGCCAACTTCTCTACTGATGTGGGCTACACATTTCAAAATCCAGTCTCTCTTTTGTCTGACAGGAGGTGATTTTGAGACTATCATGGCAAAGAAGAAAATATTTTCTTTTTCTTACACAGCACACGTGTTCATGCCTTTCCATTGTAGAGTATAAATGCTGTTCTTTGGTCTCTTGAAAAGTCAAGTGAGGTAGGAATAATGACCATAAAGTCCAGATCACAAAACAGTAATTTCCTTTCCCTGTGGTTTCTAATGGCCAGGCTGAAGTAAGGCAGTGTAGGGTGCTGAGCCCTTTCACGTGGCCCTTTCCAGGGCCCAGGGCAGCAGGAGTCAGCAGCAAGCATATCTTTTCTCAAGTTGTTTGAGAATCCCCTGCTGACTCCTGAAACTTTCCCACCTTGGATGGTTGTAAGCCTTGACCTTACTGTCTCTCCCCATGGGGCCCTGAGCAGATGCCCCATCTCCATGTCCAGAGGCTTGAGATCCTGGATGGCCCTTTCATAGCTGTGTCAAGTCGTCTTGGGTGCATCTTGTGTGCACCTTTTCACACATAGTCAGAAATAGATATATCAGAAGGGAAACCAAATCTCTGTCTTTAGAGGTAGCACAGCAGATGGGTGAAGCAGACTGGTGGCCTCAGGGAGTGGCCTGGGACCCAATGCTGTCTTTGCCTTCACCCACTGCCTTAAGATCTCAGACAAACTATCTCACCCCCCCGTGCCTCAGTTTCTTTGTTTGTTAGAAGAGATTGTTTCTACTTCATAGACTTGCTATGAGGAATTAATGAGATCATAAATAGAAAAAATCCAAAATGTATAAAGTGCTCAATAAATATTTGATATTATTTGAACGTAAGAAATGTTTTGCACAGTTTCGGGTAACTCACCTGGGGAAAGTAATATTCTTGAGACAGAGTTTTGAATGTAGTTCAGAAATAATTAAATGCCTTCCTTGATTGAAATAGAAAGGCAATTAAGACAATGAAGTATTTTTCTCTGTGGTATCTAGGACATATTTTTCTCATTTTCCTTTTGTAATGGGAAAATTTGAAACTCAGGGAAACTTACTCAGAGTGGTGACAAATTACTCATTCTGAGGTCAATTATTCCCCAACAAATACATTTCAAATAGGAAAGGTGGATAAGATTCTAGAGGCCTTAGAATCCAATGCTGGGGTAGGCTGATGTTTAGAACTTAGGCAAGCCTACATTCCCAGTGTTAATAACATACCACTTTGGAAAAGTTCTTAACTCCTCTGGGTCTCAGGCTCCTTAACTGTAAATTAGGGGTGAGAATCCCAGCCCACAATGATAATGATGTCAAGTTGATAGGGGGCAGGCTGGGAGTGTTATTATGTAGTAGCTGAGCTGACTTTACAATAGATTCCAGGTCCTTACTGTAGTCACATAAAATGGACCAATCAGCTGAGCTCTATCCTCATTACCCAAGAAAATCATCTCACAAATGTGTCTCTGGTTATCTGGGATGGGGCACAAAATAACACACATGTGTGTCTAGGAATAAGGCAGCGGGAAAAAGAGAGGGGAACAGACACAGCATATGGTTATAGATGTTGCATCTATACATTTCCCTATGCATATGATTATTTGTCTGATGGGCTTACATTTATTTCACTAACCTATACTGGGAAGGCTCTATTGTGGGTAAACAGATAAATAACTCAAAATTCCTGTCTTCAATGAACTGTAGGAAAAATGGGGAAGCCTAATATTTATAGAAAACCATCCTTATGCTTAGGTAGTATATCAGAGTAGGCTATTGCTAAAAAACACCTCTAAAATTTCAATAACAACATAAGAGACATTTATTTCTTGCTCATATAAACTCTATTTCATCATTTAGGGCCCCAGACTCCTTCTATTTTGTGAAGCTGAAATACCCTAGGACAAGGGTCAGCAAACTATGGTTCCTAGGCTAATGTCTCCTGACCTCAGGAGATCAATCTGCCCCAGCATCCCACAGTGCTAAAACGTAGGGTTTTCATTTCAGTGATAATCTTAGAACATTCATCATACGCCCATCTCAACAATTACCTTAAAACTGAATACTGACACAAAGTTTCTAAGATCAAATTTTAGTTTGAATTCACCGGTGCCAACAGTGATTCTTAACTTGTCATGGGCTGTTAAAAGAGGGAGAAAAGCAGATTTGATACTGAAATTATCCCTTTACGTTTCTCCCACACAATATAAATTAAGAAATGTTTTGTGGTAGTTTATGAAAAGTGGAAGAAGAGTTGGGCCATTGTAGAGAATGTAATTGGATAGGCCCATCATGCTCAGAAGAGCCTACTTCATTCAACTCAGAACCAAGATGACATTTGTGTAGCAATTTAGCTTTCACAAAACAATGTCATCAGCATAAATTTATCCCTGGTTTTATGCCTATAAATATCAGAGACACATCAACTAATTTAAATAAAAATATGTGTAGTCTAGGAGAATATTTTCTCTTTAAAGAGTATGTGTGATACAACTCAGGTTTTAACAGAGTCTACCAAGGACTCAGCAAAGATAGTCCTATCTCACAGAGATAGTTTCCTTTTACAAATGACTTAAATTTGAATTTGGAAACTGTATCAGTCAAGGCTAAGCTAAGCTACAATAATGAGCAAGCTTGAAATGCCAGTGTCTTAAGCCACCTGCTTATTGGTAAAGAGCTCTGTTCATGGTGATCATTACAGCAGGTCCCAAACTGACGGATCTACCATCAGGAATATCCTTGGTTGAGGGGACAAGTGCTCTAGGGATTCTCTCATCTGTAAATAGTGCCCCGACTCAGATAACCACATTAAGCTTCAAGGAGAGGAGAGCAATCTTCATGGACACCCAGAAACAGAGCAAAAGTAGGTGTCTCTTAATAGCAACAATGTCTGCAACAGAAAGAAATCAACCTGCATCTTGGTACAAAGAAGTGCCCTGTGGGATTGTTTTGACACTTTCTATTCCCTACTAGGATTCCAGAGAGCGTTCTTAACTTCATAGGCAGGGATGGCTTTTGCATTACAGTCAAACTCCACTGCTTGCTAGTCACATGGCTGGGGCAAATCTAAGCCTCAGGTCCTCCCCTGTGCAATGGGGGACAAATGTCAGTGGAATGGTTTGCCGAGAGGAGTCAAGGCAATACCTCACGTGAAACCTCTGTCAATTTTAAATTATTATCCAAATGAAAGTAATAGTATTATTTTTGGCAGTCAGTCACCTCACATCCAGGGTAAAGAACAGATAGTAATGATTTCACCCTACAGCACTTGTCACACAATCAATATTTTCTCACCAAAGACTCCTGAAAATTCACAGGAAATTTCTTTAGGTGATCAGATAATGAAACCTGAAGAGAATAGTTCTTCAATATAGAAGCAAATTTCTCCTCTTGGCTAGAAAATGACAGAGCATTTCACATGGCTCTGAATCTATATGGCCCATTTTTTCTAGCAAATTTCCACATTTAAAAGGTTTGAGGTTGAAGAGAAGAAGTGCTATCTATCTGTCTAAGAAGCAGTTGCTTTAAGTTGGGATCAGTATGAAAAATTTAAAAAGCTTCACAAAACAGAGCTGGGGATGGAGACAGGAAGATTCTCACGTTGTGGTGTCAATTCCCCAAACTGATATCACCCAAATACATCAGAATTCCAGCTCAGCAGAACTGGAAGGTATCCTGAAGATAGTCTTATCTAATTACTTGATTTTGCTATTGTTTTAATTAGCTTGGGCTGCTGTAACAAAATACCACAGACTGGTTGGCTTTCACAACAGGTATTTATTTCATCTATTTCTCACAGTTATGGAAGTTCTGAAGCTTGAGATCAGGGTGCCAACTTAATTAAGTTCTGGTGAAGGCTCTTTGTGGCTTGCAGATGGCTGCTTTCTTGCTGTGTCCTCACATAGCAGAGAGAGAAAGGGAGGATACGAGAGCCTGGGGACTCTACCCTCCAGACCGCATCACTTCCTAATTACCCTTGGGAAATACTACCATCCCATTGGGGGTTAGGGTTGCAACATATAAATTTTGGGAGGACACGGTCCACAACATCAGATGAGGAAACTAAGGTCTGGAAAAGTCAAATGACTTGCCCTACATTATGTTCCTTAAATACAAGTTGATTGGCCAAGTATTTTTCCCTTTCACCAACCTGAAATTACATTAGATAGAAATGAACATGATGGAGACAGAAATGCTTCTTTATTCTCTACTACAATTGCTAATAAAGTGTCTTCCAATCAGAACCTACGGGACTCATTTCATAATGAGTCAGCAACTGGGCAAAGGGCCTGCTAAAAATTCTTGTCAAAGTCCTGCAATAATTTTGAGGTTTGTTTTTTTTAGCATTCCTGAAATTCAAATGGCTTTCTCATTTCTTTTCTTTTCTTTTCTTTTTTTTTTTTTTTAATAATGGGAGAGTGTGAATGCAGTCCCCCACTACCACAAATTATGCAATCGAGTTTCACACATTTGGGGAAATCACAGGGGTCAACACATCCGCAATGCAATGGATGAGCCTTGCCCTAAACCACCTTCATGATCATGGTTATCTATCTCCCCTGCCAGGTAAGTATTGGCTTCCTCATTTCTGAGTTTTCCAGATCATGTTTTGACTCCCCCAGCCCAGAATATACAAATTGACTATGAAAATATAGTTCAGATTTCTAGTTGAATGATTTTTATTATCTGATTATTCTATAGATATAGAAATCTACTTTTCTTTTCTTTTTTTCTTTTTTTTTTTTTTTTTTTGAGACAGAGCCTCAAGCTGTCCCCCTGGGTAGAGTGCCATGGCATCACAGCTCACAGCAACCTCCCACTCCGGCTATTTTTTGGTTGCAGTCATCATTGTTGTTTTGGTGGGCCCAGGCTGGATTCGAACCTGCCACCTTAGGTGTATGTGGCTGGCGCCTTAGCCACTTGAGCCACAGGCACCAAGCCTAGAAATCTACTTTTCACTCAAGGAGAAGAATTTGCACATTGTCCACAATGAGCAAAGCAAAGATGAGTTACCTTTGAAAGTGCATTAGGAGAGGTTGGCTGATGCTGCAGTGAAACAGTCTCTGTGATTTACAGTAACAAGGGATGTAGGAAGGGTCTCTCTACACCATGCACATGCCTGTGCACGGAGCGGCAGGCTGATGGAAACTCCGCCTGGGGTCAGCAGGAGCTGTGCCACAGGGAAGGGGGTTTGGCAAGTTGCACACCGGCTCTTCATGCTTCTGCCTGTAAGTGACACACATCACTTTTGTCAATTCCTTGTTTGCCAAGGCAAATCACAGCATCACCTCTAAATACAGAAGGGTCAGAATACTTCACATCTACTAAGCACCCAGAGGAAGAAAACCCAGAATTTTGGTGAACATCGCTAATGTCTATCATACTAGGAAGAAAAAAAGAAGGAAAAAACCAGAACAGATCCCAACACTGGGATGTCTCACACCATCAACATGAGTCAAATCACCCCGGGGATAGTAGAATTTCTACCAGCTATACAATAAAATCTCTTACCACATTAATTTGAGGCATTTCTTCATCTTCATGCAAGAATATTGCATAGAAGAGAAAGCAGGTACAAATAAACTAAATTAGGGCTGGGGTGAAGTTTCTAAAAATGGATTGTGGGCCAGCTAAATGCAGGCGCACATTTATACCTTCCGTGGATTTTATTAGCCTCATTTCTCTGAGGAGAAATCACATGGCTATGACGTGACTACACTAATCAGTAGTCTTTCCAAAATAACTTAATAGTAGGAAAGTTATAGTCTGATCAAGCAGAAAAGTTTATTTTCACCTAAATTGCTAATAGGAGTAATTATTTAATGGGTCATTCTAGAAAGACAGCCTGAACCTATAAAACTGTGCCTTAAAAAAAAGAAGTCCGATGGCCTGAAATATGTTCAAACGATCCTCATTTGTTTCTTTTATTTGTGTACTATCATTTGCTTAGACATGTATTTTTAATCTTTTAATGTACTAGTAGCAACAATGCTTTTCAAATGGGAAAAAACTCACACTAGCTCAGAATGTCCCCTAAATTGAAAAATAGAGCTTTGTACTTTCCAGAGTAATAACCCCTTTCATAGTCTTTCTTTAAACCTTTCACAGTTAAAATCTACAAAGCAGGAGAAAAGTGTGAGAGGCAATGTTTGCTGATTTACTTTTAATTCTATCTCTCCATCTTAAATTTGTACAATGGAACAGGGTTAACATTAACACTTCAACACCATAAACTAAAAATATTTATCAGGCCAGGCACGGTGGCTCATGCCTATAATCCTAGCACTCTGGGAGGCCGAGGTGGATGGAATGCCTGAGCTCAGGAGTTTGAGACCAGCCTGAGCTAGTGTGAGACCCCATATTTAAAAATAGCTGGGCCTTATGACAGGTGCCTGTAGTCCCAGCTACTCGGGAGGCTGAGGCAAAAGGATCACTCGAGCCTGAGAGTTTGAATTTACTGTGAGCTATGACACCACTTCACTCTACCTAGGATGACAAAGTGAGACTCTGTCTCAAAAAATATATATAGATACACATTTATCAATAATCCATGTCTGAGATGAAATGAAGAAATAGTAGTGACATAATTTCATGCAGAATTTCACAGTGAATTCTATGTGACAAGGGTCAGATGGTTTTGTGTTTTACTTTTTTAAACTATCAATAATTACTGAGTTATAATTATTGTGCATTGACTAGAGATGAGATACCATGTCAAGTAATCAACCTTTTCTTCATCATTTTACAAATGAGAAAATTGAGGATGAAGTGACTTGACCAAGGTCACCTAGCTAGCAGTGGAATGCTCTTCAGGGATAAATTATCATGATATTTCAGTCAAGGTGTCTGACGATTGCAATGCTTTTCCTAGCTCTCTGTAGGAGAAAGAATTTAAATCGACAATGGTACATGTATTCATAAATACACAAGTACCCACTCTGTGCCCTGTCCTGTCATAAAGCATGTGGATATACAGCTGAATAAGTCTGCAAGCCGCAGGGGTTGAGAAAAGTGGGCTCTGGCAGCAGGCAGGCAGACTTGGGCTCAGCTCTGCAATGTGAACTCGGATGGGTACTTATTCTCTCTAGCTTTAGTTTCTTTATCTGCAAAATGAGAAACAAAATTGCTTACTTCATGGTTTTCTTGGGAAAATTAAAAAACAATGGCGTAAGTAAGTAAAGCGCTTAGCACAGTCGATTGCATAAGATGTCCCACATTGCGTGCTCAGTAAATAAGCACGTTGTAGCCATCCTTGAAGAGCTCTCCGATTAGGGAGGGAGGAGAGATATTTAAACAGTATTTCCTGTCCAATGTGATAAGAACTCTAGGGAAACCAGGCAAAGGTATGAGTGACGGCTGTGGAAGGGGCTTGAGAAGATTTCATAGTGGCGCCTTAGCTGCTTCAGCTACAGGTGCCAGCCACATATACCAGAGCTGGTGGGTTTGAATCAGGCCTGGGCCTCCCAATGACAACTACAACCGGACGTTGTGGCAGGCCTCTGTAGTTCCAGCTACTCGGGAGGCTAAAGCAAGAGAATCACTGGAGCCTAGGAGTTGGAGGTTGCTGTGAGCTGTGACGCCACAGCACTCTACCCAGGGCGACAGCTTGAGGCTCTGTCTCAAAAAAAAGAAAAAAAAAAAAAGATTTCATAGAAATGACCCTTTATCTGGTGATTACAGGGGCGAAGTGTTTCACTGGGTGAAGGGAGTAGGCACTCCGGTCGTGCCCGAGGGTGCAGCGGCGAGGCGCGTTTGGGACTTTCGAGAGTCAGGCGAAGGGGAGCGGCATATTGAGAACAAGAGAAAAGATAAAATTCAGTGGAAAATCAGCCGTGGGAGCTTGGGGGCTTGGACCAGGAAAGCCCAGCCTTCCGCGGCCGTTTCGAGAGGAAGGCTGCAGGATCGCGAGGTGGCGCTGTGGCTCCACCTTAAGGAAAGATTTTGGCGCTCCCGGGCCACTGGCACACCCAGGGCGTCAGAGAGGTGGGGCAAGGCTGTCTTGTGGGTTTGGCAATGTCTTCATGTCAGCCACAGAAAAATGACAATGATAAAAATAATAAACCCGGAAGCAGTCTCTTTTAGGGTACATGGCATCGATACTTATAAAGTGTCCCCAAAGAACGACTGAGAGAACTGTCCAGCAGGGTCCTCTGCAAGCTCAGTCCACGTAATTTGTGGGGACCGGTAGTTAGAACCAGCATCGCCTGCTGAGAGCTGAGCTGCGCGCTAACCCGCTGCCTCCTCCGGACCGGTCCTGCGCCCCATACGCGGCTCCCTGCTACTTGTAAAGCCAAAGGCTCAGCATTGGCGATGACTGCGATTTGGCCCGAAGTCACACCCTGCCTGCTAATTTCCCCTGGCTGGACCTAGTTTTTAGGACTTCTTTGCTGGGTTTCACGTGCACACATGTACACACAAACCACGTGCGAACTCAGGCTCACACACACAAGCTATTGCACAACACGCATGAACTTCTCCACATACACATCCCACTCACAGAAACGAGACACATCTACACGTGACTCTTACACACCACACACACATGCACAAAGGTACCCATGCTAGTGTCTCAAGCACACGCGCAGGCATCCAGCCAGGTGCGCACTGCCATTCACTGGCACACACACTGCACAGGCCCACAGGTGTGCAGCCACCTTTTGTCCTTGCAAACATATCTGCACACTCACGTCGTATGTACCCTGCATTCTGGTAGCCAACAAAGACCTCGCAGCACGCAGTGGCATGTGAATCTCCAATGAAGTGCGCCTGGAAGGGAATACTTTTTGTCTTCGGGCATTCCCAGCTGGTAGCTTAAACTCGCCCTCCCTCCTCCAACTTTCCCCTAGGTAGACAGGCCTGCACTTCCCTTTCTCCGCTTGAACCTTCGCAAAGGTTCCTCCACTTGGTTTGGGCTACTGAAGGGATGCTAATTTCCAAGTAACTGGAGAGCTCCCTTCTCACCCCGGACCTCCTTCTACCCAGAGAGCAGAAGGCTTCCTGGATCGGACTCCAATTTGCGGGCTAGGGGACGGTGGGCACTGGACACAAGGTGTGATTTGGCCGCGCTCCTGGGCAGCCTCAGACTTCGCTATCCTTTCCGGCAGTGCCCTCAGCTGTATTCTCGGGACGCGGAATAACTAGCTTTTAGCTATCTATGGTCATGCCAAGGCAGAATCATCTTTTCTACCGATATAGCACATCCACAAGGTGTCCAGATTTTTGTCCTCTGATGGCTGTAGGGTACAACCCAGCAAAGTCCAGTGTATAGCCTGTTTCAAGTAGGCGAGCTTGCCTGAGCTCTAAGCCTTCAAACTTAGAGCTCAGGACTAGGAGAAGCGACTGACTGGTGGTCACATAGCAGATGCGGCAGCGCCCAGCCTGGAGCTGGCACATTGCTGGCATGCCGCGTCCCCAGCGAGCCAGGACAAAGAAGGGATCTTTGTCTGGCCACGCGAATGCACACTGGGTCTGCAGGATAGTCAGGACTTTTCAGAACTTTCTCCCTTCTCTCTCCCCTCTGCTTTCTGCCCTTGGGAGACAACGTGAGTCCCCCCTCCCCTTCTCATCCGGGGTG